GATGATGATGATTAGAAGATGGTTCTCTTTATCAAGAGATTTGAAAAGTTCATGGTGAAGAAGGGCTACCGTGTTAGAAGAAAGAAGTCTTCATCCAAGAACAAGGAAGAGTCAAGAAGGTGCTTCAATTGTGAAAGCAAAGATCATCTTGTTGCTCAATGCCCATACAATAGCAACAATAGTGATGACAACAAGAAGAACAAGAAGAAGGACAAGAAGGAAAAGAAAGAGAAGAAGGACAAGATGACCTTCAAGAAGAAGAAGAAGAAGAAGGGTGGTTCATATGTAGTCACTTGGGATAGTGATGCTTCCTCAAGTGATGACGATGATAGTGATGATGACAAGACCACCAAGAAAAAGACACTTGCAAGCATTGCTATCAATGAGAAGTCTTCTCTCTTCGACATTCCATCATGCTTCATGGCTAAGGCCACCAAGGTACAAACTTGTGATGATGGAAGTGATGAGGAACATGATAATGAAAATAAAAATGAAAGTGATAGTGATGATGATGAACCAACTAAGGATGAATTGCTTGACATGCTAGATGATGCTAAAGAACACTTTGACATTAAAAGAAGGGAATGCAAAAGCTTACATAAGGAACTAAAAGCCCTTAAGCAAGTCTTTGATGAGCTCAATGCATCTCATGAGAGGATAGAGAAAGCCTATGAAAAGCTTGGCAAGGTTCACAAGAAGTTTGAAAAAGCTCATTTCTCTTTGCTTAATGAGCAAAATGAGAGGAAGCATGTTGAGACATGTGATGTAGACTTAATTTGTGAAATAATTGATGAATCATTCCATAAGTCTATCATTGTTTGTGAGATTGGGAGTGAGTCCAAGTGCATTGCTTGAGTGTTTGCATCTAGAGGCACTTGGTGTTCGTGTTTCGCTGTGGGTTTGGCTTTTTACTCTTGGTGGTTGTCACTACCTAGACGGCTTGGAGCAGCGATGATCGTCTAGCGGAGGTTGGTGATTGTTTCCGGCTCCGATCGTGGTGATTGTGATGGGATTCTTGACCTTTTCCCAGCGGAGAGGCAAAAGTTACTTTAGTAAATTACTCATGGCTTGTGTGATCCTCATCTTGTGTTGGTTGTGCGGCACCTTATTGAGGGTTTGGTGTGTGATACCAATTAGCACGTGAACCTACAAGTGAGTGAATCGTCACAATGAGGACTAGCTTGCCGGCAAGCAAGTGAACCTCGGTAAAAAATCATTGCGTCATCATTTGATTATGATGTGATTGGTCTTTATTGGTATTCATTCTTGTGATTAATTGGTTCATTCCTCGACTCGGCGGTATAACCATCTTGCTCTCTCTCTCTTTACATTACTGCAAACTAGTTGTCAAGCTCTTTAGTGTAGCTAGTTGTAAGAACTTATTAGTTTAGTTAGTGTGGCTCTTTAGTTAGCCTTTGAGAGCACACTAACTTAGTGTAGTGACATAGCCATTGTGTGGATAGAGACTATAGAAACTAGAATTATAGTAGGTGACTTGTATTTTTAGTAGGCTAACGCAACACTCGCTTCGCCTTATATTTGTCTAATCGGTTTGCTAAGTGTTGTTGTAGAAATTTTTAATAGGCTATTCACCCCTCTAGGCATTAGGACCTTTCACCTGGCCCGTCCTGTTGTCCGCCGGCTACCGCCTCCTTGACGATGGTCGTCCCCACGCTGGCAGATTCGCTTCCGCCTTGACGTCGATAGCCGTTCCGCCTCAGCGCGCCTCCGCCTCACCTCGATGACGATGGCCCAGCAGCACGCGATCGGCTGGGCATGGATCTCGACGACCGGCCAAGCATGGATCTCGGCGACGGCTGGGCGTGGATCTCAGCCATGGCCGCGACTGGATCTCATTAGGGCGGTGGATGAGGAAGAAGGAAGGGAGTAGGGCCCGCTCGGGATGCGCCTCGACGTTGGCCTGCTCGGGAGGCGCCGCCGGATTCGCCTCGGCTTCGGGCCGCTCCACCTCCGCATCGATCGATTCGCTTGGGGAACCGCCGCTGCACCTCCGCGTCGGTATGCTCCGTGTGGATGCGAACGAAGGTGAGAAACAAAAGTAGTAGGCCTGCAGCCTTGTCCAGGTGGGACCAGGGTCTAAAACGATAATTTTTGTGGGACAATGAATGAGAGCTAGAACGACAAGTTTTCTAAGACAGAGGGAGTACACATCTATATCTAGTTTGATGTGTGTATTAGCAGTGCACACAGATACTTTATTCTCTTTTGGAATCATATTGTTTCTAATACATGTATAGTTATAATGCCAGCCTTTTATGACAAATCTGTAGAGTTTTATCTTGGCCTTTGAAGTTTGCAAGGCTTATGTTCCAGGATGAATGAATTATATAATATATATGTACATATATGTATCTATTTAAGACGGGGGCGAGGAGCATGCATCTCATCTACGGTGGCTTTGTGTGTGGAACAGGTTCTCGCCTGTATTTTATACCATCGCTAGGAACATCACGAGATCTGTTCCCGATGCCAACCGACTTGGTTAACTGAACCCAACTCGTGGAGAAGAAAAAAAAATGCTGCGCTTTTGCAGCGAAAAAGCGAGAAAAACCGAACGCCTCCAGAAGCGATTATCCAGAGCGCACGGCGTCGGGAGTGCCCGTCACGGTCGGCGGCGGCGGGCGCATCTTTGATCTTTCTCGCTTTGACAAGCAGAAGATGAAAAGTCCAAAACTCGCGCACGGGGGGTCCTGTACCGCGCGACCTCGCGTGGCATGTCGCGCTCCGTTGATTGGGCAAAGCGCCCGGCGGGAAGTCAGCTGCTTCCGGCCCGTCCGCGGCCGCCGAATCTCCCGTCCCGATAGGGATCTCGGCGCGGTTTCTGGGGCGGTGGTGCCGCGGCGGCGATGCGCGATCTGCGCCGCAGCTCACGTCCAAAGTGAAGTTGCCGAAAGCTGGGCAAGATAGCATCACGATTTTACAGTTTGCCTTGAATTCAATTTGGAACTGCAAATTTCTGGCTTGGCTGAGGGTTAGTACGTTGGTGATACTATGAAGTTATCGGTTTTATACGTAGGTCATCGTCTACCGTGCCAAAAGGAAGGTGAGTGAAATGGGTCATGGTTTCACAGAACATCTATCCCATAAATTGAACGTAGCTTAGCTGGTCAATTTCATGATTCAGTGATATTATTCTATTGTTTCGAAGATGATGTATCTGTGATAACTTTATCAATCTTGAGATCAATCAGCTTAGTCTTTCGAAGACTCAATAGTTTTGGGAGCTAAATAGTAAGCTAAAGCTCGTAAACAACAAACGTGTAAAAACACGACTAGATTTTGGTAGGATCTAACAAGAACCCTTTATCTATTTACACTACCATTTGGGAGCTAAAAAACCATGCTCCCCACTGCTTCCTAATCAATCCTCACCAGAATCACTTTAGAATATTTCCTACCTGCTGATGGAATCAGTCATAGAATCAGGGAGCTACAACTTACAATCACAAAAAAAAAACTCTACTAAACAGACCCTTAATACTATTGTACCCATTTTTGCTATACCAAATTACCAATTACATAATTCCTTTTCTATGAATAAATTAAGAGAGCTTGTATGTTAAATCGTCTTACCAAGAAAATTTTTTCCCTCCCTTGGATTCGGCAACAGCTCTTTGGACCCTGATACAGTTGAGAATCTGAGATCAGTTCACTGATTTCAGATATTGCGTCTATGCACGGGCACCTCGTACATTCCTGACGAATAATAACAAGATGATTGATGCAAAGGTTGAAGCATAGATCCTATCCTACAGCCACTAAACATGCTTTTAATCACATCCACGGACTGTCCAAGGCCCCTTAATCAACACAAAGATTGCTGCTGCCTAGTAGTTAAAAAAAAAAACGTGCCCATGTGGATGCATTTAGCTTTGGTCTGGACACTGAACCATTTCCTTTCTAGAAAAAGGAGAGGCTAGCAATCATCTGAAAGCCATGGCTACAAGTGAGGAGACAGATGGAAGTACTCATGGCCACTCAAGGATACTCAAACCTGCACCAAGGGAAGGGCATGTGATATAACACATAAGGAAACATGTTCAGAAACATACAGAGCACAGAGCAGGAAGGTCATTGTTTTGCCCCGAAGAACCAAAGCAGGAAGTTCCTCTGCAAGCCCAAAGTACCGTTTGTCCACCTAAGGCTTTTGTTTGGCTACACTCTCTCTACCCTAATTTATATGAGCAGGAAGTTCCTTTGCAAGCCCAATGTACCGTTTGTCCACCTAAGGCCTTGTTTGGGTACACTCTGTCTACCCTAATTCATATGTATTGAGGTTTATTGGGGTTGAAAAATAGTTGTGGATCGAGGTGGATTGCAGTGCAGCCAAACAAGCGCTAAAGCTTGTTGTATAATATGTGCAGCATCAATAGAACGGATTTCAATAGGGGTAATTCTCTTCATGTTCAGCCAGCAGATACTTCATCTGACGATATATTTTAACTGGTAAGCACAGGTCAACTATAAATCCCAGGCATATTCCAGAAATAGCTCAAAGATATCCCATCAGAGCAACAAACACAGCCAGGAAACCTTAATACTTCTAACCATATGTGTAAATTTGGTCACAATATTTCAACAGGTTGCCTTGCGTGATATTGGATATTTGTACTTCCTGGCCGACATATTTTCCCCGAGAATGTTCAGTAACATGACGAGGCTTACCTCTACTGGTGTTCACGAATCACAAACGTTTTACGACTAGCACTAGTTCAAGACAAATAAACATGAATGGATTCTCAGAGCCAAGAACAAAGAAAGCAAATGATCGCATGCATAGGATGCAGACAGGCTCAGTAGCTATGAGATTAATTAAAGGTGAAATGATCACTAAAATCCTGGCAAAACAGAGCAGCCACAAACTTTGTACCTTGCGATTCATCCAAGAAGGATTGTCAGTACAGAAAAATAAGTCATCTACTGACAAGGTTCATTGCTATTCTCAGATGTATGAGCATTATTCACAAAGGAGGAAGAAATCAACTTTCCCCAGCATTCGGGTTGGTTCCAGAAGCGGAGGGAGTCTGCTGATCGGTGAAAGCACCTCTGGTAGTTTGCGGTTCAGGTGTTGAGAATAGCCCACTGAACCAAGGAACAAGGGCCCACGCTCTGTTACTGCTCTCACTGTCATTTTCAGGGCCATCGGCCCTGACTTCCTCTTGGGTGCTCTCTGTTCTGTCCACATTTCTAGGCTCATCCAAATCTTTCGTCTCTTCAGATGGCAGCTCAAACCGGCACACAGGGCAGGAGCTATGGAGTTCAAGCCATGGCAGGATACAAGGAGAGTGGAATTTATGCTCACAAGGCATCAGCTTTGCATGGGACCCCAGCTCAAGATCATCAAGGCATACTGAACAGCTGACAACCTCTGCTATTTGGACAGTGGGCAGAGCTTCAACCGCCTCTTTCTTTGCAGGAGGGGTGCCATACCGGTTTGGGTCATTCTCAGCCAAATGTTGAAGCAGCAGGCTCAGCCCAGCCCCCAGGACATATTCTTCCAGCAAGCCATCATCATTGCTAGATCCACCTTGGTCATCTCGGGCCTCATCAGCATCAATCACTGAGCCTTGCAAAGCGAGGGCTTGGTTGAAGGCATTGATCAGAATGGAGTTGTCCCTTTCCCTGTCAGTTCTAAGGTCGTCCTGGATGCTGTCAAGCACCCGACGCAGAGCTGATGCCCGTCCATGTCTCCTGATGAAACCCTCGAATTCACGGCCTATATCATCATCGTCATCATCTTCATCCTCACTGTCCGCCACCGCTCCTGGCTGCTCAAAAGGGTTGTTCGACGTTCCCCATTGTGATAAATCACGCTCTGACTGCTGACTGGCCAACCCCTCAAATTCCTCCCCGATCATCTCTTCAATGAATCCACCACCACAGAATGGGCACTTGATCTCCTCCCCCATGACCTCCTCAATGACCTTCTCACATCCATGGCACCAATACCTTGTAACTGCAGCTTCTGTCATCCTCCAAATCCTTCCTGCTGATCAAGTATTGCACAGAGACAAAAGGTGTCAACAAGGCACTGTGATTAAAAAGGGAAATATGCATTGATTCCCATGTGAATAGCCATAGGATACAACTAATCATTGACGAGAGTAAGTGCAGCATCTACAACAACTTTAGCAAGAAGAGATGAAACAAGATGAATAATTGAATACTACAGTGGCCATCTATGACTGAACTTCACTCAGTAATGGCAGGCATAGAGATCTTATAATAAATCAGTATCCAGAATAAGAACAAAGCTAAGTTTTGCATCTAATACTGTCGGTGCGAAAAGTGACCAACTAGTAAATATTTATCGTTTTGCCGTACGTTGTGATCGGATGTGGCCTAGCACTCAATGACACAGGGTTTATACTAGTTCAGGCAACGTGCCCTACGTCTAGTTTGAGTCGGTCGGTGACTTTATTCCTGAGCCCAGGTGCTCGAAGTTTGCTGTGGGGTTACAAACGAGTAGGAGTAAGGTGGGGGGTGTCAGAGGTCCGGTCGGACTCTAGACCGAAGGGCCGAGACTGACGGGAGCTCCTATGTGCGCTAAGTATTGGAACATATGCTCTGTGTAAAGTCTAAAGCTAGCAGAGAGTGAGTCGGAATAATCCGTCTATTGTTGTTTGTTGTTCGTTGTTGTTGTCCCCCTTTGTTAGGAGAGGGCGCATCCCCTTTTATAGATGAAAGGGACGGCCTTACAAGTGAGAGAGAGAGTGTGCTACCTAGTCTTGTTGCCCACGCCGTCGGGTACAAGGCGGTTTGTCGGCGCCCATAATACAGTTGACGCCCAGATGCATGTGGTAAGTTCCACCGTGTTCTTCTGGTATGGCCAATGTCGGCGCCTACCATACTGTAAGACAAATGTCGGCGCCCACAACACTGTTCGTGTTTCTGACATGTCTGGAAGGTTATAAAGTACCCTTCTGACACGACCTGACAGTACAGTCCGACAGGTGTGCAGGGTACGGTCTTCGGTATTGCGGTTTGACTTGAGCGCCCTTCCTTACTTGCTCCGCCTGATTCTTTGGGTCCTAATCGAGCGGGCGTCCCCGGTCGGTCGTTTCCCAGTCGGCTCCGACTGCGCCGGTCGGAGAAGAGCTGTAAGTAGAGGTTCGGTGTGTTCCCGGTCGGAGAGGCGGGTCGGAGTCGGAAGCTAGCGTCGTCTCCTCCTTGGCCCTTGCTCTGTTGGCCTGTCGTTTAGGTATCTCGGCCGGCCCAGGAGTTGCGCGTCGTTTCGCAACGTCGTCTACTAGGCCGAGCTTTTGCTGGGAAGCAGGCCCATTAGGGACCCGGGTTTATGAACCCGACAGGAGCCCGAGTGTAACACCCTCGGTGTTACACTGTACAGTCGTTTGCTAAAACACTGCATGTGCATCATGTTTATATGATAGTGTATGAATTATAGAGTGTAAATCAATTTCTGTGGCTCAAAACGTTTTTCGGAAACGTGAAACGAATGTTATATTTCATGTCGTGTTACGTCACTTAGGGTTCTAAATGAATTTTTATTGAACGAGAATACTATAGAACGCATATACGAAACTTTAATAAAGTTTATAGTACAAACTTCGTAGGTGGCGATGAAATACTTGCGGTCGAGAACGGGATTCGCTAGATAGCTTTCTTAATAGCATGGAAATCGAAGTTGACGCGAATCCGAACAAAAACTTAGTCATTTTCTTAAGTAGGAAAATGGGTCGACGAAGCTAAGTTTGAGAATTTTTATAGGAGAATCGGGTTAAGTAGTGACGTGGTCTTAGGGTTTGTTTTAGTAGCTTGATATACCATCTCGAGCATAAAATAGTTGGTTTAGCAATTGAAGCATTGAGGTGGGTTTTTGGGGCGCTTTAAAAAGCGTGCAAGACACGTTCCCGAACGATTGCAGCGTCTAGCCGCGGTCACCAGGCTTCGGTCCGGCTTGGCGCGCGGCACTGGCCTGCCCCTGGCGCGCGCACACACACTGCCGTTGCTGCACCCTGGCACACGACTCGCGTGCACACAGGCACGTTGGGCCCGGCAAGCCTGGCCGCTCTGCCTCCGCCGTCGCGTCCGCCTGAGCCACGTTGCTCGCCGTCGCGTCAAGCTGCGTCCTCTGCCGCGCTGCGTTCTGACCGCCGCTTGCACGGTCACTGCTGCCGCTGACCTTCACAGCTGAACGTGCGTGGGCTTGCCCCGCCTGCCCTCGCCATCATGTCCGCGTGCGATGCGACGCCATGCTGCTGCCTCCCCTGGCCGGCGCCAGCCACCTTGGCGCGCAGGGCCGAGCCGTCGTCGTCTTGTGTGTCAAGCCGCTGCGGTGCATGTCGTCGTGCCGGTCTCGTACACGCACGTGGAGCCATCACCGTCACGCTGCCTCCTCTCTATTTAGTGACTGCGCCACGCCACGCTCCCCGTCACGTCGCCTTCAATGGCGTCGTGCCGGTCGAGCCGCGCCAAGGCAAAACCCGCAGAGCTAGCCCCATCCTTATAATTGCGCACGTCTGGAGGTCGAGTTGGAGTCCAGCTTCGTGCCAAGCTTGCTACTGCTGCAGCCGTACGATGTCGGGGCTTCAATTGGAGTTTTTCCCCCGCCGTTGACCCCCTTAAGTCCAAACGTCGTCGTCCATCAAATTAGCCTTGCGTAGTCCACCTCCATCCAATTAACTGAGCACCCAACTAGCTCTGTTAGTTAGCCAGCGATTGGAGTCGTCCCGGCGAGCTTCCATCCTACGGTGAGGTAATGCGGGGCATTCTCCTCGCGGCGGTCCGCCATGGCCGTCGAGGCGGGTGCTCGGCCAGGGCGTCGCTCCTTGATTCTTTGTCTCAATTGAGCGGTGCAATTGCGTCTCCTTGACTTGGTTTACTCGCCCGTGCAGCGGTTTCACCAACGGAGCAGCTGGTCGCCGGGAACGCCTTCGCCGTAGGCGACGTGAACCGGAGCCACCACGCGCTCGTGGCCAACCATCTTGCCGAGCCCCGCGATGTCTTCCAGTCTGTCCTACATGTATCTGGTGAGGCCCTCTTACTCCTAGGGTAGGTGATTGAGCCGGTTAGGGCCGAGGCTCGTCGGAGCGCGTGGTCACCTCCGGCGAACGTAGTGTAGATGCGGTGTACGTGGCCGGCTCGTTTGGGAGTAGAACGGGTATGTCTAGGACCTTAGGGATGTTACCAGTACGCTAGGCATGGAGTCTAGGTAGTGATGGTAGCGTTGAGTTAGGTGATTTCGCTGGCGTCGGTGTTGCCGCGGCCAGACCCCGCCGCGGTGCATGGCCACACCTACGTGCTGCACCGTTTTAGTGTATGATACCTCGATCGATGGCGCTTCGCTCGTAGAGTGCTAGGGAGGTGATGGTTGAGGCCGAGGAGGTCCGTGCTCGCCGACGTTTGGTCGGAGATGCCGCGGCCTCTGTTAAGTTCCAGCCAAGGACTGTGAGACGTGAATTCGAAGCAAGCCGGGGGGGTTAGTGAGAACGTCAGTGAGAGAGGGAAATAGTTGAAAGGGCTGCGGGTCCATTTGATTGGAAGCCGAGGGCTATTTTGCATAATTGTCGGCGCGCGCGTGGGTCTCCCCGTGTTGGGCCACTGTTGCGCGTGGGCCGCGCCGGTGTGCTGCGCATGCGCGCGCGCGGGGCGCTGGAGTGGGCCGAGCCGCTCGCTCGCGGGCCGCGCTGAGGAATTCGGCTTTTCAATTTCCAGTGCAATTATGAATGTTTATTCAATTTAGTTTTGAGCTGAACTTTGAAAAATAATAGGAAATTCTATAGATGTCCAAAAATAATGAAACAAAATTTGTTAGGTTCACAAAAATGCTATCTATCTGTTGATGTAGTTAGTTTACAGTTAGTTGTGATAACGATAGAGTCATAAATTCAATTTAGAAAGCTTAGTATTATGTAGCTCAATAATTGTAGGAATTGTTATGGCAAATCGGTGATAGCTTTATCCATGAAATTTTTACAGTAGGTTCATTAGATTATTATGTACTCACTTTAATTTTTGTAGCCCTAGAGTAGGTTGATAGACGTATTTTTATTTTAGAGTTGTTGTCCGTATTACAAAGTGTTGCATCATTATTTCATGCATGTAGATCACGAGTTGGTAGAGTTCGTGTCCGTGGACGAACAGGACTACGAGGAGGTCATTGAGAAGTACGAGGAGGAGATCCTCGTGCAGGAGGGACCCCGGAGCCTTTTGGTGCTGACTTTGTTGACCCACCGCCTGCCCAAGGCAAGCCCCGGTACATAACTCATATTTTTAATGATCACTGAATATATATATGATGTGCATTTACGTTATAGGTATTTTATAGAAACTACATGCATAAATATATTCCCTGTCTGTGTCTCTGGCCAAGTCATAGATTTATTATCCCGAGCACATACTTGGGTATGGACGTAGGGAAGACTTATTGCTCTCTTGTCTTGGGTTCCGGCTCTTTATGGACCGACTGATTGGAGGCAGGAATGATGGAGGTCCTTGCACCGCACTAAGTCCGGGACTTAAGAGAGGGGGCTTGTAGTCCAAGTTTGAATGGGGACCTGGACCCCATGACAGGAGGGTGAAGGGTTGGTCCTGCTTGTGTTTAGGGTACAAGCGGGCGTGTGTTTTCGGGGTACCCAGCTGGGGGCATTGATTCGTGAATCGCCGAACAATCTGGTATGGCTTGTTTGGGGTCTAGCACCATAGTAAGAACTGAAAGATGGAAGATGATAAAATAGAACTGATTGCTCAACTCTTGCTTGAAAGTAGAACATGTGCTTACATAGAATGGCTAGATAATAAATTAATCATGGCTGTTAATAATAACATAAATAAGGACTCACTATTAGTATTGCTTTCTGCAAAAAGGAAATCAGCAATCCATAAAGCTTTGCATATCCCTTGAAGTCGGGAAGCTACTCCCACTAGTCGGATAAGTCTTGTGAGTACATTGTGTACTCAGGGTTTATTTACCCCTGTTGCAGGTAATGCTTGAGGAGTATCGTTGTGTGAA